GTTGATTCTATGATTCTGTGATTCCCTCTATAATGTATAGCAGAAATAATTTTGATCATAAGCAGAAATTAGGAGGCAGAACTGTTACTTATATTTTGAAGGTCCTTTTTTTTCCCTTGAGGATTGTCTGCACCTCATTGATAAAGCAGCTGTTAGTGCTACTGAGTGACCGAAACTCTTAAAATGCTTCTCACTGATTAGATTTAAAACAATTAATCTCTAAATACTTTTAACACACAGGCGAAAACACTACGGAAATTAATCCAACAAACATTTCGACAGTTTGCCAACCTCAATAGAGAAGAAAGTATTCTGAAATTCTTTGAGATCCTCTCTCCAGTGTACAGATTTGACAAGGAATGCTTCAAGTGTGCTCTGGGTGTAAGTACAGGAACGTGGCAGTCACCAGAATACAACCTGTAGTTACTAGTCTCATTGCTTTTGCTTACTCCTGCAGCTAATTGCTTGCTTGTTTCTGTTTTGATGGAGAGACAATTTGATTTCATTAACTGCAAAATATATTTATTGGCTTTAGTTAGAGCTCTCTCCATTGATTGTTAAACACAGCACCATTCATTAGTAGGATAAGAATTGTATGCTATTAAATACTTTTATTGGTGCATGTTTTGTGAAAGTCAAGCAATTTTTCATCTGGTTTCATGAGGAAATGAGACTTCTCAGCTTCTGCTGTTGGTAAATTTTCATGTATTGCCTGGTAATCTTTACCCATTTCAAACGAATTATGGGGAAGTTCAATATATTTGCAAGTTTTGTGAAAACAGACACTCAAGTAGAAATTAGAACTTGAGCATCAATGTCTGTGAGAAGAGGAAACACAGGAAATCCATAGTTCTCATGTAGACCTAAGATAAAACACATGGAAATGCAATTTATTGTAGCAGGGATCCCCAGGAAACCAGTCCTGAAGAGTTTTACTACTTACAGAATGACTTGGGTTTAATATATTTTAATTGTTTGGAGAGTTGAAAAGCTTCTAGATATTAATTACTAAAACCTGTAATTATAATGTTGGAGGATAGTGTTCCATAGCAAGGTCCTGTCTTACTACTGAAATTTTGCCCTTTCTCCTTTGATTCTGAAGTCAAGCTGGATTATTTCAGTGGAACTGGCAATTGGCCCAGAAGAAGGAATCAGTTACCTGACAGACAAGGGTGCAAATGTAAGTTTACTTTTGGTTTCTTTGGCTTTTTTTCTCAGTTACTGTCTTAACACCCATGACCTGTTGTGAACCGAGTGTCACACAAAGGGGAATGATAAGTCTGATCTCTGAGTTAAACACAGAGGAGCTGAGAGTTTAGCATACACAACTGTGAGATATTAACTTGTGCTTTGGGATGGGAGAAAGGGCAGTTGAGACAGTGTCAGACTTAGCAGTGAATTTGTTGGCTTTTGTACCCAGTGAAGTGCTCACTTGCAGAATTTGAGACATAATGGTGACATTTTAACAATGAAACTTGCAGGTTACTCTAAAATATTCTCTTTCTCAACTATGTATACATGTAGAGCTTGTTCAGTCAAGCTCTGACTTTAACAGCCTTTTCATTACCTGATGCCAACTGCACTGCAGTATCCCCTGTGCTCCTGTGGTGCAGGGGAGTTCTGTTCAGACAGGTTCTTCAGCAAAATGTTTGGGACCCTCAGAATCACGACTTAAGCTGAATCTCTGTCCAGCTTCTATTGAAATGAATTAAGAGACAGTGAAAAGGTTTGGAGATTAGGAAAGCACAGCCAGCTAGGAACATACCTTTCCCAGCTGTCTGGAGTGATGTTGAGTCTGTGTGAGTGCAGGTTCCATGTGGTTTACCTCTTGAGTTTTCTCTCTTGACATCCCAGAGGTTGTACCCACTTCAGCATGTGCCTGGTGTTACTCAACAGTGACCTCTGTGGGCATAGTGGTGCTGGATTCATTTCCCAAAGGCTCTGGATATTTCTCTGTTCTTAGCCAATAGTAACAAAACTAGAATGGAACAGAGGGACAGATTTCTACAGGTGTAATTTGGAGAACGAAGTCTCCATGTGCTTTTGCAGCATCAGGGGAAAAGTCAAAGTATTTGGCTGTAATTTTGAAATATTCCCCACTTTTCCCAATGTCTTTCTGCAGCCAACTCATCTAGCAGACTTCAATCAAGTGCAAACTATTCAGTATTCAAACAGTGAAGACAAGGACAGAAAAGGGATGTTGCAACTCAAGATTGCAGGTGCACCTGAGGTATGTTACTGACAGTTGTGATAAAATTATGTTTCCTGGGAAGGAGTGGGGAGTAGCACAGCCTTAATGAATGTATTCTCTATACTGTACTTTTGTTCTGAGTTTGGTTTTAAAATGGATTTAGAGTTCATTATGTGTTTTAGCTTTTGCATCTGGTGCTTGTAGACTTTGATATTTGTAAAAGAAACTTAATACAAAAATTTTAGCTCCTAAGTGCAGTTTAATAACAGGCTGTGTGTGTGGAGGATGCACTAAAGAGGAAACTGAGCAATAGGGAAATGTGAAAGAGGGAAAATTGTTCCCTCATATTACATGGAGGCAGCACTGGAAGTGAAATCAAATCTTTTTCTTGGTCCAGTGCATCAGCAAACAGTCACTGTGGTAGAGGATTGAGGGAATTTGACAAATCTGTGCAGAGAATGATGAATGTTAGTGGTATTAAAATTTAAGAGCTTCTGTATGTCTCTCATCTCTTTTTCCACTCTCCATCATTTGTTTTTTTATTATATTTTTATCTTTCTGGTAATTGGGAAGGTTTGTTTTTCAGCAAAGAGTAAATTGCTGCAAAGGGTGGGGAAAAAATGATACCCCCTGTAAGAGCTTTAAGGAATGAGCTTCTTCAGAATTGTCGTAGTTACAGCCCTGAAAGTCAAGGCAGTTGTATTGAACAGTGGTTGACTGAAAGTTTGCCTAGCAAACCACTTCATAAGCCCAAATTAATATTACTTTTAGGTGGAGGGTTTTATTAGCTGTGCTTTCTGAACCTCCTGTTGGAAATTTGTAAGGATCTCCCTGGTAGTTTTCTACTCACCCCCAGTTTTCTGTTTACTGTTCGCCAGCGTGTGTGAAGTTCTGATGCAATGACACAGCTGTTCTACTCAGTGTTTGCAACTACAATAATTCCTCTTTGTTGGTGCCTTGTTTTTTCCTTCTGTAGCCTCTGACAGTGACAGCACCATCCTTAACCATTGCAGAGAACATGGCAGACCTGATCGATGGGTACTGTCGGCTGGTGAACGGAGCCACGCAGTCCTTCATTATCAGGCCACAGAAAGGTAAGGAGATGTTTGTTCTGGTAGTTGCTGTGCTCACCTCCTGAGAGATTATTTTGCATTTGAGGGAGCAGCAAAACCCTCCCTTGGAAGCTCATGTCTTTCAGGGAGGAGCCATGAGGTATTTTTATTATGAGAAGCACTGACAGTAAATGTCACTCCATCAAAAATTACTTAATGGCTTGATATTTTAGATGAGTTTTCAGTAATCACTGCTTTACAATGATTCTACACTTAACTAGCAGGAGTAAATTGTAATTATGAAAGGCTCTCCTACCAAGAGTGTGTTATCTCATAATGTGATTCCCTCATATACAACTGGAAATTCAGAGAGGTTGGTTAGAATGTGTTTGGATAAGGTTCTGACTAGTGATCAGTTTTTCAATTTCTGCCTTCCTCCTAGGTACTTAAAACATCTATGTTCAAAAGAATAAAAGCCTTAAAAGAAATCTCATGAGTTTGATGAAATAGAACTAAAACAGAGATGCATTTTGTAGTGTCAATCAGTTGTTTTTGTAGCAACTCCCAAGCTGGATGCAGCAAGATGAGGGTGCAGGTACACCTGTCTTTAAAAAGAGAACTTTAATTAAATTTTATTACAATTTTTTTTTAGTTTCAGCCAGCTTTAATTGTGGAAAAACATCCAAGCAAAGCTGCTTAAGAATGGAACTTTCTGTCTTCATGTCCTAAGCTTTACATGTGGAAATTCATCCAACTTTTCTAGTGTCCAAAACAATGAATAAACTATATCCTTTTTTACTCTTTGTAATACAGGAAGGTACATGAACTGTCCCAGCAGCTTTCCAGTCTTTAGCCAGGTCCCTTTTTAGCCACATTCTTGGTTTTTTGTGCCACTGTTTTTGCCCTCATCAGTAGTTGTTCAAATGAGGTGACATTGTTAACATAGTTCAGCTCTTTCCCAGGTCCATATGTAGCATCCTGCCTAAATCCCCAGACTGAAACTTGGTCATTTGGTAATGAAGAAATGTGATTATGGGGTGTTAAGTGTTTTGACAGCACTTACTAATTGTTCAAATTGTTCTTAAATTTGTGTGTTTATTTGGTGTTTCTGACCCCTAGTGTGTGTGACTGACCTTTAGCCCCAAGACAAACAGCTTTGTAAGAATTTTTGTTGGTCATGCAGCCTTATCTCCATACAATTGAAAATCTTCCCTCAACACAAACTTAGTTCTTCAAGCCAAATTGGTGCACAACTCAGTGCTGATGAACTGTTAGCCCCAAAATTTGACTCCAAAAGGATAAGCTAAGCATCAGTGATAAGGATAGTTGATTGTTCTAAAAAAAAAGTTCTAGACTAATCTGTACCTGTGAGTATCAGTCTTCTGTGTCTTCATTTTGGAAAGATCATGGTTTGGGGTTTGTTACAGTCCTTGTTACTCACTCCCAAAACTTCCCTTCTAATACCAGTGGATTGGCTGTTTTTCAGCCTGAACTATACTAGCTGAAGTTGAGCTTTTAAAACCTTTTCATATCTTAACACGTTACCTCTCCCACCTCTCAGTCATGCTGAGTTAATAGATTGCTGCTTTTCCTTTAGAGGCACATGTGGACCATGTCCAGTTCCTGCCACTTTTGCACTGGTGGTGGTTCAGAAATCTGGTCCATTCAGTCTGCATTGCCAGTGCTGCTACTGGCTTTCCTTAACTGGATGGAAATGCTCTTACCTCCATAAAACGCCGTGGCCTGATGATTTCGAGTTCTGTCATTCACAGCAGGAACTCAGGCACTCAAGATCTTCACCCAGTCTTGCTCTGTTCAGCCAGTGTGGAAGCTTCCAGTGCTGTGCATTGTGGCATGGACTGTGCTCCAGTCAGAGTGTTTCCATTCCTTAGCCAAACCTGGTGCTGCTGCTCTTGCCCAAGCAAGGGAGCAGCTCCTGGTCCAGATCTCTACAGGATTTACCATCTCCTTTTCAGTACTTGCATACAAACCACTGCCATCTCATATGTCAGCAGGGCACGTGGGCTTTGACTTTCTGCTGCTATAGGTGTCAGTAAAAATTTACCTGCTCTCTTTGCACTTTTTCTCTTCTAATTCCTGACTTTCTCTGACCTGACTTACATAGCATCAGCTGTTAGGTTTTGTAGGCTCACTGAGCTCTGGGAAGGGCAAAATCTCTGGTTTTCCTGTGTCTTGCACAGCCATGTCTTGCACTGAGCTTTGCTGGTAGTCATGAATGCAGAACAGATCATTGCATTTAATGCAGTGTGTTTATTTGTGTGATAAGGTGGCATTTTAACATGGAGCAAATGAGCAGTGATTGAGTTAAGGGAACATCATGTAGCACTTTGGGAACACTCCTCTTTATGCATACATGAAGAGACTCCCTCCAGTTAAAATGAATTATGGTTTTCTTTTGTCTGGGGTTTCTTTTTTTGAAGTTCATAGCAATACTCAACATATTAATTAAACATTTCATAGGAGAGCTGTCCCCACCATGAACTGCATTCCCAGATCCCTCCCACAGTGACCTCTGATTGTATAAGACACATCAGAAGCAAATCATGTAGCAACTCTAGCTTCAACAGATGTGGTTTATCCCCTCTTTGAGCTTTTCCATCCCCTCTTTGTTGTAAATTTACATGTTTATTGCAAGTCTCCTCATAAATTGTCCTTCTTGATTACTAGCAGAGCCTGTTTTTGTGATATCTGTCTTGCTATCCATTCATGATCCAGTTTCTCTTACTTTGTGAGAGCACTTGGTAATGTTTAAGACCTGGACTATATTTGGAATATTGCCATTCAGTTTGTTTTAATTTTCATTAATATTTCAGTATACATGTCCCTTTAGACTTGTGTGGAAACTTTACATTTAATATTTGTGTTTCCATTATCACACTTCACTCTTAAAGGCAAAGAGCACAAATGAAATGAGTCATAAAAACTTGAACCAGTACAAACTTTAGGTTGGGGCTGTTTAGCCTGGAGAAAAGGAGATTCAGGGAAGACCTCAGCACTCTCTACCACTACCTGAAAGGAGGGTGTGATGAGGTGGGGGGTTGGTCTCTTCTCCAACAAGTAACCAAGTGACAGGATGAGAGCAAACAGCCTCAGGTTGCTCCAGAGGAGATTTAAGTTGGATATTGGGAAAGGTTTCTTTACAGAAAGGGTGGTCAGGCATTAGAACAGGCTGCCTAGAGAAGTGCTGGAGTCTCCAGCCATGAAAGTGTTCAAAAATACCAAAATTAAATAGTACATGAAGTTCTCCATGTAAGATCTTTCTAGTTTTGCCCAAATTAGCTGTGAGCATCATTTTCATTTTAATGGACTGGCAATGTGTTCCAGTTCTTACAATACTGTTAGACTTGGTTTCACATCTCCTGGAGTCCAGGGTTATAGGAGTGGTGAAAGGTTGGGTATGTATGCTGAGGTTTAGGTACCATGGAGCTGCTGGGGTGGCTGCTGTGGGAACAGACCAGGGGCTGCCTCCACACCATTCCCTACTTGCCTCTGTGGTACAGACACTTGATGATTATCATTAGAATTCATATTCATCACACATTCTTTACAACTTAAACTTCATCAACAAAAAAAACCCAAGGTACAAGGACAGAATGTCTTGGGTTGGAAGTGACCTTAAAGATCATCTCATTCCAACCCTCCTGCCATGGGCAGGGACATTTTCTGCTAAACTAGGTTGCTCAAAGCCCCATCCAGCCTGGCCTTGAACACTTCCACAGAATAAAATTTTAAGTATCATCACCACGAAAGCAAAAGAATAGTTAAATGCACAATAAAACTCCTTTCCTTGTCCTGTCACCACTTCTACAAGAACATACTTGAACACCAGCTTCCAGGCACTCTGGAATTACTGCACTCCCTGCTATTCTCCAGTCTGACTCTTGGTCAGTATCTCTTTCAATTGCTGCTGAAGCTCCACGCTGAACACTGGAAAGGTGGGTTAGCCCTGGCCAGCAGCAGCCTCACCTGCTTGCCCCCTGCTCCTCCTCAGCAGGGCAGGGAGAGAGGATAGGGTGAGATTCGTGGGTTAGAATACAGGCAGGGAGGGCACTTAGAGGTGCCAACATGGGCAAAACAACCTCAGCTGGAGCTCTCCCTGGTCTGCTGGGGGGGTTGTCTCTGCTCCAGCAGGGTCTCTCCAGGCTGCTGGTGGGGGAATCTCTGCTTCAGGACTGCAGCCCCTCCTGCTCCTCCTCCCAACTCCCTCGGGGTCCCTCTGCTGCTGCTGCTCCCTCCCTGTCTCCCTCCTCCTCTGCAGCTGCTGCCTTGGGCCCTTTCTGGAATGCATTTCCTCCCCTCCCAGTGCTCCCAGTTTGGGTGAGGGGCTCAGCTGTATCCTGCTGGAGCTGGCTGAGACCGACTGGGTCCAGCATGGGCCAGCCCTGAACTCTCCTCCCAGTGCAAACACCTGGGCACAGACACCCCAATACAATCAGGCATATCCCTTTTTTTTAACAGAATATAGAGTTGGGCAAAACATTGTGGGTTTCAACTTGTGAAAAACAACATATGCTTTAACTGGGATGCTGTTAGTAAGGAATTTTGACTTCAGACCTATAAGGGTACTAATGAATATTTGGGATACAAGCTGTAAAAGGATGAGCAGCAACTTGGGAACCAGTGCCTGAAGTGAGCAGTTCGTATCCAGAGAGGACGTAGGCGTCTGCAAGATCAGTAGTTTCATGCGATTTATTTTTCTTGAATGATATCGTAGAAAGAATCATAGAATAGATTGGGTTTGATTAGAAATTATCTCCTTCCAACCCCCCTGCTTTGGGCAGGGACACCTTCCAATAGCCCAGGTTGCTCCAAGCCCCATCCAGCCTGGCCTTGGGCACATCCAGGGATGGGCCAGCTTCTCTAGGCAACCTCTAGTACTACAGCCCCTGGGCATCTCTAGTAATACTTAATAGTAGATTTTTATTTTTGGATGCCTTTTATTTTTAACATCTGCTTGCTTTTCTGGTTTTCCCTGTCCAGTTATGCCCCTATGCTTGACACACCTCCAGTAGGCAAATTGGGATGTTGTTCCTGTAGCCAGTTAGTGCGTGCATCAGGCTGTGGATTAGGAGTGGTGTCGAGTGCTTCTTCCTTCTCCCCAGGGCTGAGCTTGAGTTGTCCTCCTCTCCCAGCCCCATCAACCCAGAGGACATGGGTCCAGATCTGTTGCTCTGCTGCTGATGAGCACAAACCCAGTCATGCCCCATGAAATTTGACAAAGGACAGTGAAAAGGAAGATGATCAGACATAACTGAGTTTGGTTATGTTGGATCCATGCATATGCTAGCTGGTTTTCCATCCAGTCTGGAAATAAACATCCATTTACCTTGGGTCAGAGTCTCTGCTTTTCTCTGTCCATCCCCATAATTTCCTCACAATTTTCCAGACAGATTCATAGAATCATAGAATTTAGGGGTTGGAATGGGCTTTACAGATCATCTAGTCCCAACCCCCCCCAGCCATGGGCAGGGACACCTCCTCACTAGATCAGGTTGCTCAAGGCTCATCCAGCCTGGCCTTGAACACCACCAGGGTTGGGGCAGCCACCACATCCCTGAGCAAGCTGTGACAGTGTCTCACCACCCTCACAGGATAAAACCTTTTTCTAATATCTAACCTAACCTTCCCCTCCTTCAGTTTGAACCCATTACCCCTTGTCCTATCAGTGCAGTTCCTAACACAGAGCCCCTCTCTGGCTCCTTGTCGGCCCTTCAGATAGTGAAAAGTTGCTCTGAGGTCTCCACACAGTCTTCTCTTCAGCCTGTCCTCATAGGGGAGATGCTCCAGTCCTCTTACCAACTTCGTGGCCTCCTCTGGACTTGCTCCAACAGTTCCATCTCCGTCATATGTTGAGGACACCAGAACTGTGTGCAGTATTCCAGGTGGAGTCTCATGAGAGCTGAGTAGAGGGGAAGAATCACTCCTTTTACTTTTCCTTCAATTCCTTCCATCTTTCCCACACTCTACCTGCTAACTACATCATCCTACTACTCAACTAACTACGTAAGACGAGTTCTATGCCCATTCACATCTCACAAAATGCGTAGAAAGGGTTTGGTGTTACAATAGAATCAAGATTTTGGTTTGTTATGACTTATTATGTCTTATTATGATCCTTGCTTTGCATTTGGTGCTGATAGGAAACTGTTCAGTAAGTGGAATGGAGACTTGCAGGAACACAATGAGATTCTCTCCATTAACGAAATTTAATCCCACACTGGAAAGTTTGATTCTCTCTTTTATCTCCCTTAGATCCTTTTTGATAGGTAGTATCTGACTTCAGCACATCCTAGCAGTTGCCACCTGTAGTGTTTCTCACTTTATTGAGAGGTTGGGGGTCTGTGTTTGCAGGAGGGAGAAACAATCAGTCTGATCTGCAGCTGAGGTCAGTGCTCAGAACATATGAAGCTTTGTGGCCCTGCAAGAGTTATGAAAGAATTTCTATAAAGTGTAATGAAATCATTCAGTGATCTTTCTGAAGTCCCCAAATGTGATACTACACACACACAAAGAAAAAGCCCTAGAGGAAATTAAAATTCCATCTTCCAAATGCAGTTTGAATAGTGTGCAGTTAATATGTGATGGAGCTACATATTAAAGAGCAGGGAGAATTATTTTGAATATCTGCCTATTAATTGTGCATCTGTTACCTTAATTTAAAAACATGGAATGGTAACTCTGCAATTTAATAAAGTTCTTTTAACACAGGTTTGTATCTCTTTCTAAACCTTCTAAGACTGCAAGTATGTTCCACAAGTAATGTGTGATTAATCAGCACCATCTAAACCCTTAAATCCATTGCCAAATGTAGGAGCAGTAGCAGCATAACTTGATGTAAACTAGAACATAGGATCATTTCACAACGAATGACTGGAAGCTGATGTAGGTATCGAGTAGAATTTAAGATCCCTTAGAGTGTTCTTCACAACCCTGGGAGGCCTGCAGAGCAGTGGGCAGGACTCATGTTCCTGTCTCTCCAAGCTTGATGTCTCTTACCTCCTTTCATCCAGGTCAAATCCTCTCATGCCTATTACAGTCTCTCTTTTTTGGATCTCTGCCCCCCAATCTTTTCCTGCCAGACTCTAACCTTCATGCTATTGATCTCATACTTGTCACTCCACACTACCTCTGAGGATCTTTGCCTTTTGTTTCCTTCTCCAAAAGGTGTCGTTTACCCTGACATATCACAATACCTTTATCTCCCACCTCATGCTGCCTGGATAATCTTGCTGTCCTTCCTCTGTCCTCCAGTTTCAGGTGCTTGTTCTTGTCACTTTGCTGAGCTGCTTCAGGTCATCTTCAAATTGCAGCTTCTGGTTTCCCTTATTTCCTGCATCTTCCTTCTCAACACCCCTCTCCTCACCCATCAGACAGCACAAAACAGACCTAGGTTACTGAGCCAAATGATCTTGTTCTGCCTGTAGACAGCAAAAAAATATTGTACCAAAATCCTATTTGAGCATGTCTTCAGGGTATTGGGTGTTTCTCTGGTCAGTTCCTTGGTACACAGAGGTGAAACTGCAGTTCTGTAATGTCTGGAAATTTTCACATAAGAGAAAACCAAACAAGAATTTACATGATTCTGTGGAGAGTGTCACCATTTTCTACAACTGAGGCTGTTCATTCTCTCTCAGATCACTTTATCAGAACTATAGTGATGTAGAGTGAAATCCATTTGTCCACCTTCTGTCCTTCTTTGCATACTTCTGTCTACTGTAAAGGTGCTTTACTAAAGGATTAGTAACTTTCCCATTATTGTTCCCCACGTGAATACCAAGTGTCTCATCAAATCCAATAGGAAAAACCCCTTGAATAAGTACATCCAAGCTTTTATACACAATACCATTACCAGAGGAAGACTGGCAAAGATCTGAAAATAGTTTACTTAGCTGACTTATTCTCTGGGACTAAACATTACTGCTGAATAATCTCAACCTAATGCAAAATCAGTATGATAAGTTATGTGCTTTGGTGATTTATTTCGGTTGTCTTACCTGAAAATCCAAGGTGGCTTTGATTGTTTTATTTACATGTTAGCACTTAGGACATTTTGGAGATAAAAGAAAAGCATTTCTTACTAGAGAGATGAGATAGTGTCACACCTTCTGCAAGTGATTTATTGGAGTTATTTGTTACGAATAAAATAGATGTTTTTTTATTCTGTATACATCGTTCCCTCAGATAAGAATTCACCAAAAGGTCTGTGTAACTGGCTAGGAGGAGTTGTGTTGATGTGCTGCTCTTTATATATGTATAGAACATTCTTTTGCATCAACCTAAGTTTTCCTGAGAGATTGTGATGATTATTGTTTCAGGCATGTATCTATTGCATGTGGAGAGATGATATTTGAAAAGTTGTGCAAGCTTTAATCCTGTTTTCTTCTTGTTTACACAGAAGGTGAAAGAGCTTTACCATCAATACCAAAGTAAGTTTTATGCTTTCTTTTCTTATATATTAAAAAACATGTTTTGAAAAATAGTTTTGCTTACGTGATGCTTTAGGACTTTTTCTACATGCTCAATTTTTATCTGGATTCCAGGACAGGTAGCAGGTGGTGGTTTTGGATCATGGGACATAAATGCCTGAGAGCAGTATTAAGCTAGAAAGATATCAGAAAGCAAATCTGAGGGAAATAGCAAATAATACATTGATCATACCTGACAGGAACAAAAGCAGGATGTTTTAGCAAATACTTGACTGGGATTTAGGCTATTTCTTTTGGGTTCATGAGTAAATTTAATTGCAGGGATGATGCTAAACAGTTTTTGAATTGTGGTTTCAGTCTGTGAATCAGTTTTTCCTATTTGTCCCCATTGCTGCTTATGTAAAATACAGAAAATACTTGTTTTTGCTGCTATCATATCACCTTTTCTTAATGAAATTTCCTGGATGGAGCTGGTCTAAGTTGAGATCTAGATTCACTGGAGGAAAGAATACTGCTTCCATAGTAAACACCTCTTTATTTTTTAAAAATATAGTATCATGGGAAAGTTCTTCTCCAAATATAATTGTGGTTGTGCAGAAAATGCTAATCTGTGTTGAGGAAATAGAATTGCTTTTTTTTTTTCTCTGGTTGGTTTTATGGTGATACTATATCTAGGGTGTGCTGAGATCTGCATCTAATAATTCTCACAAACTATACTAAGATACCTCTCTGCATTTTTCTCCTTCCCGGACTTTAAGGTAAATAAGAAGAAATATCTGATTTAGCTCTGTTTGAGCTCAGACTACTCCTTATGTTGTGGAGTTGATAATCCCTAACATAGGCAGTTCTTCCTGGTGGTTCTCCACTCTCCTGGTGTCAGGGGTTGGGTCTCCATCCTATCTGACAAGTTGTGGTTGTCTCACTTTCCATGGGCATTTCCTTGTTGTGGCCTCCTAAACTTCAGTCTTTTAGCCATGACATTTTTGGGGTTTGTAGAGGTTTTTTGCTTCTTTGTATTCTGGTTGTTCTCAGTGGCCACATTCAGACCAAATTTAGTCACATGTCATCAGAGTGTTTGCCTTGAACCTTATCAGGCACTATCACCTGTATGCAGTAGCATGAGATAACTGTTGAAAGGCCAAATGACATTTAGTGGTTTATAGTGTTTTATCTCTTCCTTTTTCTTTTGGGACACAGGGACTGTGCCTGCTTTGACCCAGTCACCTCATTCTGTTTCTTCCTTGATTCGTGAAAGGAGTCCAGAATTAGTATTACTGCTTTTTTAACTACTGGATGGAGTATGGGACACAGTTTGTTCCTGGGTTAGTGGTTGCTCTTCCTACACAGGTCCTGCTGCAGCCCTTCCTGGCCAAGCAGCTTTCTCGTGGTGCAGAGAGAAGTTAAAATTGAGGAAGGAAAAGGACATTAAAGTTGAAACTGGAAGCAGTAAAACTGTAAAAAAAAAAGTGAACTTAGTGTGCTCTCATGGAAGAGGAAGATTTGTTTTTGTTTAGATGCACAAACTGAGAAACACAGAGTAATCTTCTAATTATATAAAGTTTACCCTTTTTTTCTTTGTAGGGATTTCTGGGCTAAAATAAAGTTTGGAGGAAAAGCTTCTCCCCATTTTTTGGACAGCTTACCAAAACTGAATTTGTATGCTTGAGCCTGTTTAACACGGGCACCACATATGCTCTGAGTCTGGCAGGAGAGCAATGAGCTTTTATCAAGTACACAGATTACCAGCCAACATCATCTTGCATCTGGGAAGATTTGCCTTTGCCAGATGAAATTCCTGATTTCTGGAAGCATGAAGTGCAGTGCTCTCTGACCGTTCAAATTGTGGTTGTATATGTGTGGAAGTGAAAAAAAAATGGAGAATCCGTTAGAATTTCTGGTGCTAATGAACATTTATACATAGCATAACATAGGCATGGCACAATGAACATTTACACACAGCTACTGTTACGTGTGATTGCTTTTCTTCGTTTACTTGAGATGCAAATTAGTTTAAAATGGTGCAGGCTAAGTCCTCTTACAGACAAAAAATACTTGGTACTCCATTTCCAGCGGATTATGCAGCAAGTAGAAGCACAGTCAGATGACACATCCCCAGAGTGTGTCAAACCTGGGCTTTGTGTTTTCCTTTACATTTACTCTGTCGCTGTGGATCAACATGGTAATTAATAGCCACTGTCACTCCCCCAAAGGGTTGGAGTGGTAGATTCCTCTCCAGCCTCTCTCCCCTCGCAGCCTCTCGCTGTGGTTGATGGATCAGCCCTGCTAATTACAGTAGGTGCCTGTTGGGATGAATTCCCAGTGTATGTGCCCGTGAAGAATGTACAGCATTCAGCGATTCCAACCTCTCTTTTACAGGCTGGCCAACAATGAGAAGCAAGGAGTGAGGTCACACACAGTCTCTGTGTCAGGTAAGGCTCCTCCAAACACCCCATGTGGGTTTGTTGCTGAAGTTGGCAGATGTGCAGGCAGGTTTGTCACAGTTAGCTCACTGCTTGCTCCGTGGCTCCTGACTTCCCCCAAACCAGAGCTGTGCTGCTTTGTACTGCACTTTCTAAAGAGAAACTTTTATGGAAGAGCCATATTCGTGCAGTAACTGGGGCTGGGATACTTCAAAGCTGCTTGTCAGGAGTTCCACTTAGCTTTGTGATGGGATAGAATGTCATCGACTAGAACTTAAATTGCCTGAGAATGTGCTAATTGTGCAGGAGCAGCTTTGAAAAGGGAAAATAAGCAATTAAATATTAATCATTGCTTTTCCGTAAAGAAGAAACTTAATAGCTGTTTTTCTGTAGCTGCTGTTTAGATCAAAGCATTTAATTTTTGCTGTTGAAAATGACAAGTTAATTGAAGGATGAGCATGTGAGGTAATACCTGTTGTTTCTGTACCTTCTAAGATTTCTCTTAGTTACTGTGGAGTTTTTGTAAGTTTTTATAACTGAGAGAGAATGTTCTTCTGTTACAGAGTCTGAAGTCATTTTGGTGGGTTGATTCAGTGCCTTAAGTAGAAAATGCATTTCTAAATCTCTATGCATTGTAGTTATTAAGGAGATTGTAATGCAAAAGTGTATTTTTATTATAGTATGTTCCCATAGGTTTCTAGTATTGGCCACAAACTTGAGGAACAAATACTGTGGCTCAGTGGATTTCCCACCCCTGATTTCCTTCAGCCCCACTTCAGAATTTATGTGAGCACTTAGTGGCACATACTCAAAACCCCAACATATTTATACAAGAAGGAGGAAAGATATATAGATGTTTGATAAATGTCCTACTTTTCAGATTCCTTTCCCCACCCTTAACCATTTTTAAAGATGTTTGAGGTTCACCCATTGGCACCCAAGCAAACATTGTGCAAGAGGATAGGTGAGAGGATCTGGAGTTAAAGTTGTATCAAGCTGCAGTGGTGTCATAGAGCTTCATCAGTTCCTGTGGCTTCAAATAGCAGCTCTTCTTCCTTCAGGGCCTGCCAAGCAAGCATGGTAGATCAGGTAGAGAAGTATGAAGCATGGTCAGCATGTGCCCTCTTGGTTCTTACCTGTGTGGCTCATTTTAGCTCTTAAAAAAAGTGGAAATTTCTGAAGTGATTAGCACTGTGCTTTTAATTCGTTCCACTCCCCCCCAGAAAAGCTGATCTTCAGGACAAAAAGGTCTTACTCCCCTGCCAACTCAAATTTTCATCCTTTCAGTTTTTCTGAGAATGCTGATAGACTTTTACTACTAAAAACAATAATAAATACTTAGTTCATGATCTTTTGTTGCTGTCTCTGTGACTTTGCAGATTAGGCATGTTTTGCTTATTGTTACAGCTGAATTACTCGTGTCTCAGAGCACAAACATTTCTCTACCTTTTTGCAGTAGTGTTTTGATATTAGTATGGGGAAGTTAGCTGTAATACCACCTGCCTGGCATTCAGGGCATTACCTAAAGGTGGATGATGGAGAAGTGAGAGCTTTGCTGTAGCACCACAGGATAAACAGAAGTATCAGTGCTGGAGGTGAGCTGGATGTTCAGGTAAATGTCAGGGAGAGCTGTAAGGCACAAAGCTCCTGCAAGCAAAACAATTACAATTAAACTAAAAACATCCTTCTTTTTCTTTTCAATACCAAAATCAAAACCAATTGGTATTTTTCTTGTATTGTAGTAACATTTTATATATTTCCATGGTGAAACCATTGAGCTTGATGCTTGTTTTTCTACCGTGTTACAAAGCCCTGAAAACACTGACAAAATACTGGAGCAGTTCAAGCTGGTGCATTTATTATTCAGTCTCAAGGGTTTGTTTTTTAATGGCACAGGACACAGATCAACTTTTTTTGTTGTTGGGGTTATTTGAACAGCGTTGGGGATGTGATGGATGTCAACATATCAAGTTTAAACCACAGGCAGATTGCCGAGATGAAGTTACACGATAGGGCTTTTTCCTCAGTGGGTGCTTTCTGTCAGAATCTCTGAGTCCCCAAAGGAATCAGTTTGCTATAAATGGAGTAATAACTGATGTAGATATGAAGAAGTGTCACTCCTGTTGTCACATGCGACTGATCCATCCGTTGGGAACAAGGGAGGCAACAGCTGTACGTAATGTTCGGTTAACCCGGAGTCACAGGTCAGCAGAGCCTGACAGCTGACAGCAGCCAGTGCAGAGCCAGCTGGGGGGATGCTGCCTTGCTGTGCAGAATAAGAGCTTTTCTCTGCTGACATTTAAGTGACTTAGAGAGAAGAGCTTCAGATAAGACAAGTGTTTAGAACTTACTGACAGCCCTAACGTCCTTCACGCCTTTGATAGCTGAAATCATCAATGGACTCTGCTGTTTGATCTCCGTGGGATTGCTCCCCTTTGTTTAGACCTCACCATGCTAAGGCTAAGTAGCAACAATCTGAGACACAGATTCAACAGGAAGATGAAGCAGTCAGACATATTTGTAGTATTAACACCCTTAGTTTGAGAGGGAAGTTTCACAGTGAGTTCCTCACCACAATTTGGGGAAACCAGCTGTAACCAAACCCAGAGTGAAACAGGATTTGCTGGTCTAAAAGTTTAGGTATTTGTCTGATGTTTTGTAGGTTTCAGAGGGAACCTGTTAATGAAAGATACCTTGTCTTTGTTTTTGAAATACATATTAACATACTGTGGAATATTTCTGGTCTAGTGAAACTTTCCAAGTGCTTCAGTATTCCAAAGCAGACCAAGATAGAAGGTTTGTAAATCCTTTGGGCAGGATTTTTTTTTTCCCCTCTAAATAAAGACCTTTTCAAACTAGTGAAGGATGAAGGTGGTTTCAGGAAGCCAAAGAGGCAAATTTCTGGACCTGAGTGTGTGTGTCACTGAGCCAGGTTTCACCACACACCTCTTAACTGCTGCATGCTGCTTCTTCTTCAAATCCTGTGTTCCTTGCAGTGGGCACTGTTGTTCACTGTGTGCAAGTAAGATGCCTGCCAGATTTCCCCCATTTTTTAAAACACAGGAATATTTTTATCCCTCAAATTTTGCATTTGCGAGAGTGTAGGATTATAAACAAATATAAATAAACCCAGTTAATCAAGCTGTATTTTAGATTTCTTTGGTATTCATCTGATGTTTTGGTTTATTTTGCTGTGATTCAGCAGAAGCAGTGAGTGGTTTAGCTAATAGATAGGTAATTCCAGCTTTTACCTCCTTCTTCCTCTACTCCTGTCTTTACAGTAAAAAAGAATTCTTTGTACTTCGTGTACAGTCAGGAAATGTAAGGCTAAACTGTTTGCTCTGTGCAAATAGTATATCAAATGTGTGAGAAGCAGCATACCATTTAGTTATCATTTTTTGGACTATATTTCCTCTGTTTTGCTTGGAGACACCTTATTAAAATGCTCTGCCCTAGTGCAAAGGAACTTATTTTGGCCAGCAGTTTGTTTTGAAATAGCAAACATTAACCATGGTAATGTGATGCTTATATTTCCTGATACACTGATTTCCAAAAATAATAATTTACCTGGTCAATTATATATTATAAGAAATTCTTCATGAAATGAAATCAGTAAAGCTGTAGTTTGCTTGCTCCCTTTTTGCATAAATTCTTTCTGACAGAGAGTTCTTTGGTTTCTGCTGCCCTTCCTTGCTTATGTAAATATGACTAGGAAGAATAAATATCCTTTTGCACCTTTGGCTAATCGCTGTGCCTCCTTTGCCCTAGAGAATTCATCAGTTTTTAAAATCATAGCTCAATTGCTGCTTTCTGTGCAGTGCCACAGAATATGATATTTCAGGCCAACTTGTTCAGCGAGCATGGAACAAGCAGAGTATTGAACAAGTGTTGGCAGAGTCAGGTTCTTGGCAGTGCTGGGTTTACAGTTGGACTTGATGATCTTAAAGGTCTTTTCCAACCTAAAGGATCATGTGATTCTAAGCAGTCACTCCTGGCATTTGGATAGTCAGGTACTGCTGGGTCAAGCAACATATCTGTGGAGAGGGAGCTGTAAGTAGAAAGATGGCAGAGTAAGAAGATGTTCTGCAGGACCCAGCACAAGGCATTTGTGGATGAGAAGCTCACCATGAG